ACAAGCGGGTCTGCGATCAGCGCCTAGAATGGCTGCAGGACCGGAAAGCTGCTTGCCTGTGCTGGATTACCTCCACCCCCCCTATCCCCCTACACTGTTGCAAGTCGTGTGTATCTGTATTGATGTGCTTATGTTGCTGAGGTGTTTTTTTCCTGTTCCCACACTGTGCTCCCCATAGGAGCATAGTCTGGGGTCTGTTTTTTTTATCTCCTCCCTTCCCTCATGTTATGCTGTATTTCTTCTAAAAATTCCCTGTCCTCCTGTCCTGTCTACCCCCTTGTCATATTGTATGTATGGACAGGTGGATGGCTAATTTCGCTGGTACCTGTGATCAGTGACAATAAAGGGCTCATTCATTCATTCATTTTATGAATCACCAAGGAGCACGTTTTCAGCTAAAAATCTTTGCTGTTCTACTGAAGAAAAAAAAAGTCACCTACATCTTGGATGGACTGAGGGTGAGTAAATTAACAGCACATTTCATTTTTGAGTGAACTGTTCCTTTAAGTGCATGTAAACTCTGAACAGCAATATTACCACTTTATTCAAATGGTTTTATTTGTGTTGTATGTCATTTAGATAATCTTTGTATGATATGCTTATTGTGATCCTGCATTAACATGTTAATGTGTGTTTCAGTTATACTAGAGGTCAAAGGGTCAAACATAATCATATAGAGAGAAAGTATTAGAAATAAATAGAAAAAACAACTACATGTAATAAATATTTATTTAAAAGAACATGTATTGTACAAAAAAATTTAATTAAAAAAACAGCCACTTCATTTGTTCCAGCAACTTATTCTCTCAATTCTCTCAGTGCATTCATATCAAAAGTCATTATTTAAAAAGCTGACAGCCATTCAGAGGGTCAAATACACCACACAGAAAATTTTAGCAAAAAAATCTGCAGAACGACAGTAGAAATTAGCAGTAAACTTATGATATTGCTGTCTTTTTATAGTATTGCAAGCACAATCATACCACAGAAGGCCTCGTTTAATACCTGGAAATAAATGTGGTTTTCTTTGTTTTGGCAGACAGCATGTGCATGAAAATGTGTCTATACTGGACGTCTGTGGTTAATGTATGCTAGAGTGTGCATGTCTTGAGGTGTGAATAGTGTGAGTTTCGGTGAATAGCATGTGCATCCACAATTTGCATTCCTCTTTATGTGAAACTGTTTTACTGTGAAATAAAGTACACAATCTATGAATGCTGATGTTTGAGAAAAAAGATTATTGTCTGAATGTGAAATAATATAAAATATCATATACTATATGTATGTGAAATGTCAGATTGGTGTTCAGCAGAATACACATCTGTCTATCGCTGATTTCTATCAGTCGTTGATTTGCAAACTAATGCAGTGATCCTGCAGATAAGAAGTGTTAGCTTCAGCAGAAATTATTTCCAGCTCTAGCGACACTTAGAAGTCGTTTCTGAGAAGTTTCCACTATTCTTGATATCACACATATCTGTTTAGTGAAGAACATGTCATGCTCGTCTGTCACCATCGAGGACGAACAAGGTAATTCATTTTAAGAATAAATGCATTGCAGTGAAAATGAAATGCATCATTTAATACAAGTTGTAGTATTTATGCAGTAATCATTTTCTCCATACTGTGCAGAAGTGATGATTATGCTAAGAGATGAGAATGATCATTTTGTTTTCATCCATTTTTGAAAATTACTAAGCAATTAAGTTTTTGTAGTCATTATAAATTTTATAAATAAATCAGTATAATGTAGTATATATATATATATATATATATATACACATACACGCATACACACATACACACACACACACACATACATACATACATACATACATACACACACACACACACACACATACATACATATTCAGCCTTTTCATCAGGGATAAAAAATAAAATAGCTTTTATATTAGAAAGATCCGCAGAAAAAAAATCCTAATGCTGTCATGAAGTAGAAACATGATTATCCCTTTCTTTTTGTTCATATGTGGTCAGGGTAATTCCTAATAAAGTCAGAGAAATTTGTTTTAAAATAATTCGATATTATCCATGTAATGACTTTATTAGTAAGTATAAAGATGTGTTTTTTCTAAAGAGCAGTCAAAAACAATCTTGCACTTTATTTTGGAGTACTTACTAAATGATTTTGGACCCAAGTTTCATCGTTTATCTTTGATTTAAATACACGTTTGTTTTTATGGGATGAGATACTGTTTTAGTGGAGATGGATAATATAATCAAAATTCTCTCTGCAATAGTTACTATTTGTGTTCCTCAGAAAGTCATAATTTACATAATTTTCTTTTACCAAGAAAAGTCCAACAAGACGAAACTTCTGTGCGGAAGTTACTAACTTCAGAAGATGCGCGTGTGTGTGACGACACGCCGCGAGATGCACACATAAACTGTATGTTTCTACAAGTTTTGTAAAATAAATAAATGAATTAAAAACAATAAAAACAATAAAAAAACAACCGCTAGAAGCGAAAACGACTGTGTCACAAAGAGGGCGTGGCCTATGCGCTGGCGTCAACTCCGATTGGTCTCTGTCTCTGCTAATAAAAAAAACGTTTTTTACTCTGGAAAAAAAAAAAGATGCACACATAAACATTCACTTTTAAACAAATAAAACATCAAATGGCATTACTTCATAATAAAACCTGCAGCAAACGTTTGCGGAATCAAATGTGAAACACACTAAATTACCCTCTCACGCAGTGCAGCGTTTAGCATCTTTGGTTTCTGTTTTACCATTGTTTTCACCAGCAGTTCATATCGCTGTGATTATACTGGAGCTGTGCTCTGATTGGTCGTCTCTGCTCTGGTGGGCGTGGCTACTGTGGCTGTTCTGGTTCATGACATCATATCCACCATAGACATAATAAATACCTAGACGCCTCATTCTTGGGGCATTGAATTAATAAACCAAAAAAATAAATAAAAAAAAAGATCCAGAAAAAAAACAAACAAAAAAAACCTAGACGCCTCATTGGCCGCTCGTCCGCACGTCAACGTCGCCGCCATATTGGTGCGAGCAACTTATATCGGGACAGGTGAAAACATACCCGACTCGTCGGCAGCTTGGGCCTCTACAAACCGTCGCACAATAATACAAACAGATCTCGGGGTATTATCTTTCACAGGTAAGACTGAACAGTTGTTTCTGTATGTTTTTTGGTTATTTTTAGCTTTATGTTGACAGCTTAATTAGCCACCAGTGTCAGACTATTAATAGCTAGCGATATCGCTAGTAAGCTGTGAAAGCTGAGACTTTATATGAAATCAAAGTTTAAATGAATTGTTTTAACTTTATATTACTTTATATGTAGTTTATATCATAAAGTAAATTGTGTTATGAGCACAATATGAACAGTGAGCACTTTGACAAGACAATGCCAGACTATCAGGATTAGGGATGGAGCTAAATTATCTCTCTTTAATTTCACTAACGTTACTTATTTACAAAGAGTAAGTTTATCATCACTTGATTATAAGGATTTCATAGCTTAGCATAAATCTGTGGACTTATTATATATATTTTCCCCCCTTTTTTTAGCCAATTGCAAACAGGACAACACAAGCCTTAAGGAAAGCTGAAGAAAGCCTGTTCTCTGCATTAGTTCTCTGAGAGTAGGCTATACTTCCACAGCCTAATGTTGTATTAGTACTAGTTACAACCCAGAACAGCCCTGAATGAACGGCCAGAATTACCCTGCTCATATTCAAACCACACACACTCACTATATCTCTCTCTCTCTCTCTCTCTCTCTCTCTCTCTCTCTCTCTCTCTCTCTCACACTTTTCAATTCAATTTAAGAGTGCTTTATTGGCATGACAAAAATTATACATGTGTATTGCCAAAGCAATTGCAGCTGGACTGCTTACAAATAGTACACACATGTATTAACAGAAAGAAAAAGAATAATAACAATTGTAATAAATATAGCTGCAAGCAGCAATCACGGGGCCAAGCACTCCAGAGGCAAATTGAGAAGCTAAGCACGGCATGGAGCATCAGACCAAATGCAACAATGAGTAATAAAAGCAATTTTAGGATGATTGTAATTGAAATGGCTGAAAAATCATAAATACTACCACTAGTAAAATGATTAAATGGCTTATGACTTTTGACCAACAGCTGTCGCTGCAATCAAATCGTTTTGGTCTGTTCTGTGTGAGCAAATTGAGGAGCTAAGCATGGCATGGAGCATCAGACCAAATGCAACAATGAGTAATAAAAGCAATTTTAGGATGATTGTAATTGAAATGGCTGAAAAACATAAATACAACCACTGGTAATGTGATTAAATGGCTTATGACTTTTGACCAACATGTGGCGCTGTAATCAAATCATTTTGGTGTGTTGTGTGTGAGGTGGCAAAGGCACACACAAAGTTTGTTGTCATAATGTCAAAGCTTTAAAGAGATATAGCCTCAGAGTCATTTTGGCACCATAACTAAAATTTGTAGCAGCGCTGTACGAAAACAGTTCCATCTATCGACACGGAATCCATAACTTTTTGTCAACACAGTCTGAAGATCATCTGACTCGATTTTGGTAAAAATCGGACCAACGAGTGGCGAGGAGTTTAAAAAAGTAGGTTTTCAACATAAATCAAAATGGCGGACAGGAAGTTCAGC